GTATTGGAGAGACATGATAGTTATTAATTTAGTACTTTCTAGAACTCAATTAGTGACTGTCCCCATAATAAGAAGTATTTTACAGTCTTATTTTTTTATTTAAATGAAAATGGTACATTACAGTCACTATCCAAGGTGTTATACATTTCAAATACATTATTTATAAAAATGGAGACAAAGTCCTTAACACGTTAACGGCCGCGTAGGTCACCGGTGACCTACGTTAGCGGAGGATTTGCCTTCAGCAGTTTTCTGACGGCAGTCAAAGGCTTAAATGCAAGTTGTAAAGATGGTAGAAAAATTTATGTAACAAAATAAGAATAGGAAAATCCTTACAAACTATGATACGTTTTTACAGCAATAACCAAAATATACAACAAAGACATTTACAACACAATATAATATAACAAAGATAACTATATCATGCTTGACTTGGCTGGGGACACTGCCGTACCCCTTGCCCCCTAGTAATTCAAAGAGTACTTTTGAAAATTTGCTCGCACATACATTTAATTGCACACACTCGTTTTAGAACCATCATCACTTTAGTAGCATTTCTAGTAAAGAGTAAACTACATCTTAATCAATGTTACTAGTTTCACTTGACAGAGTATTTCAAATAATTTACTCAACCATCCATTCGACGGGTAAAACCCTCATCCACGTCAATTGCTCACGCCCCTAGACCAACGAGGTTAATAGCAATAAACAATAAAAAAATCCGAACATAAACAATTAAAATTCTTCAGCCCGCATCAATCTAAAATCATTGTCATATGTGACCACATCATACATGAGGAATAAAACGCAAAAAATAAAAATTCCACACAACATAAAAACTCAGGTATGTTTAAATGTATTTATTTATGTACATAAATACATTATTACAATGGCATACATAATTTGAAACTGGTTTAAAAATGGCGTCACAGTTTCTATCTACAAAATATATAACTACATTGTATTTATTATTAGTACTTTAAAGTCTTAAAACATTTATGCAATGATTCGTTTCTAACATTCTTAGTTTATTTACGTGGGAAGTTAAAGGGACTGCTATGATGTAGGTCGCTGCATTAGTAACTTAATCAATAACATAACGGAATCAATTAATTCTTAATACAGGTGGGAATTCGTTTTCAATCTGTCGACTAAGGCAATTTTCCCATGGTAAAGAAAAGTGACCAGCACTTATAAAGCGAATTCGATTTGAAATTGTCTGTTAAATTAAAGTACTAGGTTTGTGCGTGCTTTATCGTACGTTAGTGCGCGTTTTAGTCAGATGTTATCGCTAATATCATAGTAATAATGCAAAAAATATCACAATATTGCTAATTTTTTTTGTTCAAGCTGGGTGTCCTGCGCATAATAGCTACTTTTCATCTAAAATTGTGTTTATAAAGTCCGCTAATTCACTGTAATGTGCATCAAAATAAATCAATTGAGTAAATCAAATGAGTAGTGAGTAATTGTACAAAAATAACAATTTTGAAGCAAATTATAAATACTTAGGTACTATTAGAAAGTAAAAAAAATAGGTAATCTTTTATAATTTAAATAAACTATCATTGTATTATCGCGTCACTATCGTAAATAGGTAAATTGTTATTTATTTATTTATCTATCTACAGAGCACAGAAAACACATCAAATCATAATTACTTTGCTATTCTTTATCCTTGTCAAATTGGACGCGAACGGGCAAAAAACAAACGAGGACGCAGATATTATAAAAATAGTTTGTCATTCAAGTTTCTTGGAATTTTAAAGTTAACTCGCTCATGGATAAATGATTTGCGTAGTCTGTATCCATATTTTCTTTATGTATTGTTTTCTGTGACGGCTGTAGGCGAAACTTTAGACTATTTTACCTTTTTACGCATTCTTTTTAAATTCCATATACTGGGTATATTTCATCTGTCGACCCACTTAGGTCTTGGTGTTATTTGTTATTGTGTTTCAAGAGCTGGAGAAGAATGTTAGAAGATATAAACAAAACATCTTACATTGTTTCCGACAATGTAAAATGTTTTGTTTAACTAAAAGTGTTATTGGGATTTCCAAACTACTTTTTTATATTTGTTCTAATTCTAACATTTGTTTAAAGAACAATAGAACAAGAATAATGCGGTCACCGGTGTGCTCGCGGTGTTTGACAGTTTAATGAAAAGTAGGTCTAGGTGCGTTTCTGATGTCCGTTACTCTGTCATATGGCATATGGCAGTTATACACAAACTCTCACCTTTGTCCTCTGGGAGCAGAAACTAGAACCGACGACATCGCCGTTCAGTGCCTTTATCTTAAAAGACAAATAAGACTTATTGCCTCGATAAACCACAATCAATATAGATCAATTTAATTCAAGGAAAACGTAGCGTGTTTCAATATGAAGTAATGAAAGGCCTCCAGTATTTCTCTGAATTGCCACCCTATATGTAAACGATCATTCGGATGCCTTATAAATTCTTGTAAAAAACACCCAGTATAACATTGTAAAGGGCATATTTTCCTTAACACCAGGTAAATCGATACAGTAACGTCAGAAGCATATTTTTATCCTTGTAATTTCATTTCAAAGTGTATTGTGTTTTACTTAGGTTACATGGGAAGGGGATACAAATTACGTTTATTTGAAATATAATACTTTTTGTTTCCTTCGTTTGGGGTTGCCTGCCAGCTGCCTATGCTACTGTTCATCATGGCTTTATCGGATCGCCTTTATGACGCCACACTCGATAGTAAAACTTCACTTAAAAGTAGCTTCTGCTAATCTACTAGTAAGTTCGAAAAGTGTTTTTATTTGTGACACTTTTCTCAACATGGCAATAAGCTGGTATCATGATGACGATGCTGGGTTCAATATTTCCAAGATACCTTGTTAGGTATGTGCATATACATACTGACACATAACATAATGAATCTAACTTGTCAATCTACGGTTGTATAAATTATGCGGGGCCCCGAAACAACCATCTTGATTGCACTAAATAACTACGTTCTGTGATTTTGTGAGACCATTAATTTTGTATGGATACGAAGTTAGGATCAATTCGCAATAAATTAAAAGAGAATTACGGCTTAATCGAATCTCTACCCACGCAAATTATAGGCAGGACAAACAACAAGGAAAAGGGATTCAAGAAAAACAAATTAGAAGCACATATTTACCTATAGAAAATACATATATACGTTGTTACAAAAATATATTGCAAGGCGTATCTACAGTGGCCGATTCCAATTTCATTGTCAGCTTTATATGATAAGTTATCTTTTAAAAATATAAACCATTGTGACATTTAATTTTAAGATAAGCCCCTTTTCGTTGGAACAAAAGTGATAGTAGAAAGTGTCCCGATATGATATAGGTCGAATTTGAGACAAATACTTTTATCAGCACGTGTACCTACGTAGAATAGATTATGTATATTCCATTGTTAAATGATTACACATGTAATGAATCAATTTTCTTATGTGTGTATTCTTCTTATAAAATTCAGTGAGCTAATAAGGTATCCATCTTCTCCAAATCTTTTGAAATACAATTGTAAGGGGGCGAGCCTACTACCATAAATCCATGTCACACACAAGTTCAGTAATTTAGTAGGAACAATGAGAGTCGTAGCTTGCAAAATTTGAGAATTAAATCAAAGACGTCATGCAGTATCAAAACTTTCAACTGTTAGACTATACTGCCATCTTTTGGGCACCATGTCTGAGACAGTTGTCTTAAGATTTTTTTTTTAATTCGTCGTAACGTTGTTCGCATAGGCCCATCAAGCTCATAAATTAATTTGTGAGATTGTAAAAAATATTTTATCGAAAAGTGTAACGGTGGAGTATATATTATTAATATATTATTTTATACACTGCAATTATTATAGTACTCTCTTAACTACAATATCAATTACAATAAGTACTTGCAAACAAAATAACACCTTTTGTTAACATTATTATCATCAACAAGGACGAATTTCCTTATTTGTGATGTGTGATAGAATGGCATGGATGTTAGCCATCCATCAACGTCGGTAGTACATGATAATATCTACGCGTATACGCTACTTGTGTATTGATCTGCGATTCTTGTAAAACTGCCGTGTTTACATACTTTATGTAAATATATTTATTACCGACTTCAAAAAGAAGTATATAACTCGTTAGATAAACTAAATATTAGACGCTTTTTTTTAACTCGTCGAGTACCGTCTATGTAGACACAATTATAGAACAATAGGTTGCGGTCACCGGTGACCGCTTGGTGTTTGACAGTTTAAGGGGGAAATATCATCGAATGACTGCTCTCGCCTGGGTGAGGCGGGAGGGAGTGTCAGACTCTTACTGACTAAAAACCACCCCGTTCCTTCTCCTGCACTTCGAGCCGGAGCCCCGGTAACCCGTTAGGTTCTCCGCGGCTCCGAATCGGCATCAGCCCTATTGGGCCCCATCCGTGGTGGTCTGATGGCTCTTTGAGGCGCGCGCGGAACGCGACGCGCCGTACGCTCGGGAAAAATAAGACGCTATTGTTTACTTTTGTAACTGTAATTAGTCGAGTACCTCGTACTCGAATAATTTCGAACTACGACAGGGGCTCATAATAATTAATAGCACTAGTCGAGTTATTAATTTAATGTCGCCTTAAGACATCAAGATGTGCATACGCGTTTGAAATGTGTTGTGATTAGTTTACTAATTACAAACCACAGATAACATAATGTAATGTGACGTTTTTGTATTAACTGTCAGTGTCACTCCGTTCACTTGTGTTGTCATGTTTTTTCTCTTGTACTTCCGCCCTGTTCCGTGAATATAGTTTTATCGCTCAGTCGTGCATTTTTATTTTAATAAAGTTTAGTTCTGGAATTACCTCTAATTATTCTATTGAACATTAAAATGTAAAGTTCACTGTTCACCCCTTATGATAATCATCTAGCCCCGTACAATATACATTTATACATACATGAATTTTATCATTCTACTAACTTTCAACTATCTACTTTCCAGGTAACAAACAGATAGCAGCGTTGGTTGTCTGGGCACGCGACATCCCGCACTTCAATTCTCTCCACCTGGAAGACCAGATGCTGCTCATCAAGGCATCCTGGAACGAACTGCTACTCTTTGCTATCGCCTGGCGGTCTATGGAGGTTCGTACCTATGTATTTTATATTAACAAGATTTAAAAAAAAAGTAATTCTGAAGTTTTTTGCTCTACAAATCTTCGCGAATGCTGGGAAAGCGGTCTTCGGTTCGATTCGCGAGTCGGGCAAAGTATTATTGGGTTTTTAAAAAAAATAGTACCACGTAGTCAGGAAATGTGTCCGGTATATAGCAATAGGCTCACCCCCTATTACATAGGACTCATAACATAAATAGTGAAAAGTGGGTGTTACATTGTACAGTGGCATTAAATGCCGTAATGTGCACCTCTGCTTACCCCTTTGAGGATAAAAGGCGTGGTGTTAAGTTATGTGTTTTTCTTTCGTTCGAATAAAACTTAAATACGTTCGAATAAAAATGAATGTAGCTTAATTTGTAGACGATTTTTAAACAAGGGTTTTTGGAAATCTCCCCTAAATCCCAAAATCACGGTGTTTCAAGTCACACACTATTGTTTAGTAAATGGTCTCTGTCTGTTCGTGACCTTATTCCATTCCATCGGATCGGGTTTTGGCTCTATTCAACTTGAATGTATAGTTTAAACAATGCAAAGCTTCATACAATCATGTGCTAGAAAATACATATGCTAAGTGTATTAAAGTGTTTGACATTAAGAACATGATTAATTCATTGAACGCCATGGGGAGCAACATATAGTCCACGATAGCGGAGTAGTAATCCCCAATAATCCTCAAATTCCTAACAACCAAAAGGCCGATAACGCACTTGTAACGCCTTTTTGGTTCGGGTGTCCATGGGCGACGCCGATTGCTTACCATCAGTTGATCCGTCTGCTCGGCTTACCGGGTTATCCTATAAAAAGTTATCCTTACGGCTTAAGCCGTTCTTTGTCGGCAGTCGAAACCTTGTATACTTTCTTCAAAATCGGTTGACATTTTAATTAATGGTACATATTATGTGTAATTTCAGTATTTGACAGAGGAGCGTGAGGTTGTAGATAGCTCTGGTAACAGGTCCACATCGCCACCACAACTCATGTGCCTCATGCCTGGTGAGTACTCCATCCTCTCTATTTATTACCATCATCAGCTGGAATACATCTTATAAAAACACATACACAAGAATAGAAAAGGTTTGTTGTAATAGCCTGCCAAGCGGGGGCATTAAGGCAAACTGCTTAGGGCTTTAGGCACCGAAATCTTAGAGTAGCCTCCTAAACCATCCATTGGTTGTTTGCCACAATAGGGTAGTTGCCTATATTTTATTTTAATGTCCGTCTTGTGGATTCGTTTAAAACATTACGTATATTTTCTTTTCTCGCAAAATTAAATACTTTCGACGATATAATAATGTGAAATATCGTGTGACGTCACTATGCCCTACATTTTGTAGCACTATGTGACGTAACGACCACACACTCCTAAACTTAACTCTATTTTATCTAATCATTGTAATTTTTTACGACAAAATAAACAAAATATGTTTCTAAAATTTTTTCATTACCTAACTGAAGGACTAATTAGATTTTTAATTTTCATTTCCTAGTAACTACCCTATTTTCGAGACATACCAATCCAGGTTTAGCACATGACAAACTTAGTACAATAATTATTTTCTACAGCAATCAGACTCAAATCGTGCAAGTCGATATCGGTCAAAGCCCATATAATTGAAACAGAAATGCAAAATAAGAATTGTACAAAAAAAGAACTACAAAACAGAGGTCAATACCAATTTCAAATTTTAATTATGTTTGGTATGTCTGGCTGGATTTATTAAAGAATATACCTACCTACCTACATGTAATGCTGGGTCGCCCCTGTGCCTTTAGGCAAACGCCACTTTTGCGCTTGTCTACAGAGAGAATCAAAATGTATGAGGATGACACTGACAAGTGTCAAAATTTACGCCAATACCATTATAATTTAGTTTTCTATTCTACAAGTAGACAAGCTCTAAATGGCATTTGGCTACACAGTTACACTTAATCCGTTGAAAGTTGTTGAAAATCATCTCCTAAATTTGTTCATACAAAAGTAATCTCTAAACATTGGAAATAAGGTCTATAATGTAGTTAGTGGAGAGCGGTCACTGGTGACCGCTTGGGGATATAATTCGTATAAAAATGTGTTACATATAAATATGTGCACTTCGGGTCTAATGTCATCTACACTAATATGATCGAAATCACAAGGCAAAAAGGCTCTTTTCTACATCAAATTCTCGACAACACTCTAGTGAGAACAAAGATTTTTAAACCTACAAAAGGCTTTCATAACCAAAAACAATTGTTGTAGTAATATAATAATAATAATGAAGTATAAGTTATCGCACCCTAAGTCACGTCATTATTAGTTTAGCCATTCGTTTTTGTTACGTATACATTTTATAAAAGGTTACTGACTTGCAAACACGATTTTGTACAATGTACGATAGTTACTACCTATTCAATTTCAATAATAATTCTCGAACGGTCAAAAACGGACGTTTTGTGTGATATTTGTATGTAATCATAGCTTTGACGTCATGTGTTTTTGCTATATGCCTATATCATCATTGGTTTGCTTCGTGTACAAAAGACTAGCTTTTGTTTGTGGTTTTACTCCTGTCGATATTGATTTTTTTACGTTCTCCTCTTTCACGCTTTAGGGCCGATTCTTCAATTATGAGTATGGAAGAATTGTCAAATATTCAAAGTTATACCTCAGTTAAAATTTATCTGGCGTTGGATCGGCACTACGTCATTGTGATAAAAATTAACTTAGTGATCTGTGAGCTATTTCAGGCTGTAACCATTTCTATGCGAAATTTCATCCAGATACGTTATGGATTTTTGCGTAATTGAGTCACGAATCAAAACAAACTCATTATTTTATTCAGTACTTACATATATCGAAACAGTCAAACGCTGCTCAAGTCATGCTTAAGTATAGTTCTGTCAGTACTAATTATTTTAAAATGACAGGGATGGCACGATATTTAAGTATAAATTAAAAAAGTAGCCTTTCAGTATTCCGCCGTTAGTCTAGCTAGGCAATAGAAAGTAATAGTTTTTATATTTAATAGGTTCAGACTTAGAAAAACTAAATCGTTACTTTATGTAAATACTAGTTGTTGGCATGCTCACTATCGCTGACTTACCAGTTTTCCTTTTTTTTTGAAACCTTGACCTTATATCTTCTCTAAAATCTTGAAAAATGTTACTAAAATGTAAGTTTTTACATTAATTGTATATTAATCTTGTATTAGCATTTGATTATGTAACCTCTAACATAAATTCTATCCGCATAAGTAGGTGCTAAAAAATCTTACTTTATTTTCTATAGGAAACATAACTATTAATATTTCCCACGATATTCTTTTTTTCTTGATAATTCAATTCGAAAATTTCATGCCTGCTTAAAATAACGAATACTTTAGTTAAAAAATTATTATGTGTTATTGGGTCTCTTACCGTCGATTATAATGCGCGGTTCAAGTAACTGAAGTTATACTTTTAAGACTTGTATGTCTTTATTGCGGTCGTGGTGGCCCGGAGGTATAATACGCCCGCTTCCCATGTATGAAGGTGCGGGTTGCGGGTTCTAAATCTACCAACAGCAAGTACCGATGTGACTATTTCTGAGTTATATGTAGTTTCTAAGATTATTTAGGCGCCACTGACAAACGATGACAACCATCGTGAGGAAACCTGGACTTATAATTTCTAATTATTAGTTTGAAATCGCCAATCTACATTGAGCAAACGTCGTGATTGGTCATTGTAAGAAGATATCTTTGGGCAGGAAATGTGCCCGGTATATGGCAATAGGCTCACCCCCTATTACATGTGGAGTCATAACATAAATTGTGAAAAGTGGGTGTTACATTGTACAGTGTACAGTAAATTAAGACCCATCTCTCTGATATCTTGCCTCTGTAAAACTTTCCATTTTATGCTGGCTAAAAGGCTGGAATGGTTTGTTGAACATAATAATTATTTGTCCTCTAGCGCGGCCGGATTTCGTAGGGGTCGGTCATGCCTGGATTCTCTAACTCAGTTGACCACAAGTATACAGCTAGGTTTTACAAGAAACACAGCCACCTTAGCGTGCTTTTTAGATATAGAAAACGCATACAACAACGTTTCGATTGTCAGTTTAGTTAAAATATTAGATAACCTAAAAGTTGGCAGTCGTATATGTGACTATTTGTGGGAATTCTTGAAAGAAAGACATCTAACCATTCAAAATAGTACTGAAGACAGTGGTGTCGTAAGATGGGCTAGCAGAGGTTTGGCTCAGGGAGACCCTATCTCTCCTTTGCTATTCAATATAGTTACACGAGACATCTGTAATAAGATCGGTAAAAGTAATTTGGTAAAGATTTGCCAATATGCTGATGATTTCGTCATCTTCGATAGTTCGAAAAATATAAGCGACAGTGTCCATAATATACAAATGTCCTTAAACGTAATAATAGAGATGCTGTCTGACATAGGCTTGGAATTATCAACGTCTAAAACACAAAGTTGCCTATTCAGTAGAGGATATAGGAGACAACAGATACAATTACATTTAAATGATACCCCTTTAACATCAGTGAATTGTGTCAAATATCTGGGTGTTTGGTTAGATTCGTCACTACGATGGGGAAAACATATAAATGAACTCAATGAACGATGTCAAAAAATGCTGAAAGTTATTAAAGTATTGGCTAGCTCTCATTGGGGAATGCATCCATTACACTTGAGACTTCTATATATATCTCTGATCAGAAGTCGAATTGATTATGGCTGTGTACTCTACGATGGTAGTTGCAAGACTCGCTTGAATAAATTAGATAAAGTACAGAATAAGGCGATGAGGATAGTGGGTAGTTACATCAAAACTACACCTATTCACGTTATGGAAAGTGACTTATGTTTGCCTCCATTGTATATTAGACGTAAGTATCTGGCATTTAAATGCTGTCTTAAGGCTAAGTCATGGACTAATAATGTGACGGGTAAATGCTTAGCTGATCTTGGAGCTCTGAGACAACACAGATATTGGTCAAGTAAGAAACACCCGGTTTTGATGGACACATACCATAGTATTAAAGAAGAAAAAATATATTCATCTAGTATTTTAGACATGTTTAAATTGAATATATGGTGTAGTATAATTGACATTAACAGA